GGATTTATGACAATCATTATTTCTATATTGTATATAATGAAATCACTTTTGTATATACGTTTATATCTCATAAAAAATTATCCGAATGTCATTTATGTTTGTCTTTTATTTATCATATTAACGAATAAACATAGACTATTTTACTGCTTACTCTTTTGTTTCTTTTATCAATTATGTTTTTTGTCGTAATGTGACAAGTCATTGTAATATAATAGTCATGAGAAAAGCTTAAAAATAATATCTATATTATTTATTTTTACTTCAAAAATAGGATTAATAATTTTTATAGATAAATCTAAAGATAAGAATTATATTCAATACATCCTATTATTGTTGATCTTGTTATGCATAATTAATATTCATAAATCCAAAAAAAAAAGAAGAAAAAAATTTTCTTAATGAATCAATGAAAATTAGTGAAAAAAAAGACAAACTTCATGCAGGTGATATTATTAACTTAATTTTCTTGATTAAAATATAGCTAATCAATGATCACGAGATAATATGAAAAAAAAAAAAGAAAATATTATTTTATCTTGCAATATATTCTAGATATAAACAACAAAAATTCTCGTGAATATTAATCTCTAAGTATTAAAAGCAAATTTATCTTTTTTTTTTTTCTTGATGTCATATATGACGTCAAAACTTTTTTGATGAAAGACAAGAAGTTGAAAAGAAAGATTAAGAGATCAATGCCAAAAAAATATTTTCGAAAAAAATACTTTATACATATTATTATTATTTAAGTTGTGAAAGATTTAATTAATGAAATATTTTATATCTAATACTTTAGAAGAAAAAAAAAAAAAAAAGAACATATCTCTATTATTGATTCGTAGTATTTTGTGATAGCAATCAATCATTGTTTATTGACAATGAATTGCAAAGAGAATACGAAAACAACTGATAACAATCTTATGATTGATAAAGTTCTTTGGTCGTTGAAGTGAATAATGGATAGTTTATCAATATAATATCAGAATATATTCTTTTTTTTTACTTTCAGAAATTAAGATTATTAATACAAATAGAAGCAATTAGATTAATAAGAGAAATAATTTTGTATAGATTTTAATTCAATAATAAATATATTTTACAAATGTTTATATTATTCTCGAAAGTAGTAACATATCATAACGATGAGTTTTATACAAAAAAAAAAAGACAGAATAATATATTAATTTCTAATTGAAAAAATTTAATATAAACGTTTCAGTTTAAGTTTTTTTGAATCAATAATAATTCTTAAATATGATATTTATGCTTGAATTAATAAAAAAATCATATTCTTTTTTTTTTTTACATATATGAGATCATCTTTAGATAACTGTAAGGAAGAGTGATTATTAGAGAGTAAATAATAAGTAATCTTACCGATATGTAGCTATAATAAAAATATTTTTGCATACTTGCTTATAATCTTATATGTTATAGCTATAGGTCATGTCGTTTATCTTGCAATAAAATAGAAAACTTTTGAATATTTATGGTAATAGATAGAATTCATAACTGTAATAAGTTATTTAACAAACCTTTGGACGATTCTTCATATTATGTTTGATTACATTCTGCTCAAAGTTCTTTTCATTCTGTTTAATAAAATTTTTCAATCTAGTCAATATTGACATTATGTGTTTTTTGTTTCTCTTGTCAATCTTCAATAATTCTTCAAATTAAATAGTCTGTAGATATAATGTCGGAATCTATTGATTAATCAATTGTTTCATATTATAAATTCTATCTTATATGCTTTCATATAAGTAATTGTTACTTATAGTATATAATCAGGTGGATTATTTTGATGAAATATCATTTTCTTTCGTCTTTTATAAATAAATAAATGAGAAATATGACATTTAATAAATATTTTTATTATATGTTAAATGTAATATCTGGAGGTAATTACTGAACTATCTTCAATAAAATATGAATAAGTTGTACTATATCTGCTCACATCATTCCAAACTAGTATAGCTACAAGGTATAGATGATTTTGTTCGATTTTCTCAACATCTGCTGTCGATCCATTACTGATAATATAATATATATCTTAAACACCTTGGTTTGTATCAAAGTAAAAATAAGTATAGTCATTAGTTACATCATTTTTTACATCTCTTATTACATAATCAACGATACATATGTTAAGCGCTGGATCATTTCTTTTCAATAGCAGCTGGATATAATCGATGTACCGGTGTTTTCTTACAATACTCTGCATGAATAACATGATGAATAATATAAAATGTAGTATCAACATAACAATAACACGTTGCAACCATTAAGAAAACTTTCCAAGGATTTGTTTTTTACTAATGTACGATGATACCATACAATGAATAATTACAAATATTATTATGATATTAATTTGGTTTTTCTATTATTTAACAAACATGATTTATTAAGAAGTATTTTGTCCTAATGCAGATGTTCATTAAACAAGTACTGAAAAAATCATTCATGTTATAATATATCTGGCGAGAATTAATGAGTATTTACTGTGAGATATTGAATTTTTTCTTGAGTAGTTCTATATAGTTTGAGTGTGTTTTAAATTAAATAAGAAAAATTACAGACGTACATAATGAAAATTTGAAAACTTCAATTATTAATTCATTGTTTACAAATTTTTTAAAAACAAATAATAGAACTGAAGAAATGTTCATTGTTAGAAAAAGACGTGAAATATTTCTCTATTTTTATATAATAAAAAAATGTGTTTAGAAAAAAAAAAAGAAAATTTATTTTTAGAAAAATATTCAATCGATAAGAAAATTGTACAATTGTATGTTCAATAATTTTCTCTGATGAGACATCATTTCTGTCTTACAATTTCATATTTGTCATGTATTCTTTTTAAAGTTTAATTCTCTTTTTCAATTTGTTAAATATCAAAAAAAAATCAATTTATTTGTTTATAGTACTAATAATTAATTTGAAAACTTATATTTTAGTACATAGGTTTGTTTTTTCTTATTAAAATTTAGAAAATTAACTTTGAATAAGTTTCTATTAACATATTTAAATAAATACTTAATCTTATCTAATAAGTTAACAGCTAAAAATGAAAGTCGTTTTTCTTTTCTTAAGCGTATCATTCAACATAATCGTTAAAATAATTTATCAACAAATAATAGAAGATAAACAAAATAAGTCGTTGAATAGTTTCTTTCTACTGTTCATTATACTAATTATGACATTTTTCTTTATTATATAATCAATATTAGCTAATACAAGTGCCTAAATATTTTGCTAAGTATTCTACAAAAAAAAAAACCAACATGATTATTACATGTGGTAGTCATGTTATTACATATGAGTACTCGTGTGAGTAATTTGAGTACTCATGCTGACAAATCGCACTTGTTTAATGAATGTTTTTATTCTTAGAGTTCTATCTAGAATGTGAATATCATAAATAGCATCAGTAATGTTAAAGGAATGAACTGATATAAGAATCATGAGATCTATATGTGTTACTAATGAAGTAAAATTGCTTGTAAATAATTTTAAAATAAATAAAATAGTCTGTAAATTGTTGTAGTATATATATAAACAATTTAATATGATTTAGAAAAAGCATAGAGATACAATGGTGACCATCAATCACTGGTTCATTCTCGCCATTTCATCTGTAACTAGTCTAACTATGAAATCGATGAATAAGTTAAAACATATAGTGAAAATCTAGATGTAAGTTAGTTCAATATTCTTTACATAGATTTACGAAAAATTAAATTTATTCTGTTTTAATTTTACATACGTTCATATCTTCTAATAACTGAAGAAAGAGATATAAATGTGGTTGAACATATGAATACATATGTTATCACTTATAGATTGACAGTTTAGTTGGTTTCTTACACTTCATATCTACTCTCTTTAATTTTTTTCATCATTATAGTTCTGCAGAAATGAGAGATATTTCTATATTATTTTCAAATGAATTTCAAGTTGTTGTGTGTTGTCCTTAAGATTTTTTCTTTAAGAACTTTCAGCAGTCTGGTCAATTTTTTTTTTTTTTTTATTGGTTAGGTACGTAGTGCTCTAGTGAACGGCTTTTGTTTGCTTCCGTTTTCTTTTTCTGATTCCCGCGTGAGACGGGACGGGAAAAGTCGTTCCCGTATGACATTATGAGAAACTGATCGAACGGTATACTATGTACTGTTCTGTTTTCTTTTGTTGCTAAATCAATAAATTAGTTACTGTCGCATTGTTTCATTGTCAATGTTATTTTTTTGATTATAGACGATCGATAAACAATTCATTCATGATTCAAATTAGTTAACTGTAGATGATTTGCGACAGCATTTTTCATATACTTAGATTGTTCCTGATAATCTATAGTAAGATTTTAGATTTTTTTGACATCGATAGATAATCAAAATTAGAATGTTTGATATTTTTTCAAGAAAGCGAATTAGAACATTTATATCTATCGTACGAAATTTAAACTTTTAGATTAGATATTTCATTGAATCATCAATGCAATCTAAACGTCCTATTCTATACTATACTCTCAAGTATAGATCATTTTTTTTTGTATCGGGCGCTGTGTGCAATATTGAAACACATTAAACAAAACCTATTATGGTTGAATCGAATTTTGACTGACCAATAATTGGTTATATGATGGAAAGCACTTGATATTGAGTGGATCCTTCATTTTATCTTCAATTAATACAAACTGTCTTGAATACGTGATTAACAATGAACAACAATGAGCTCCTAAAAACTGAATCATATTGTTTGTATTCCGTAGAAAAACTTTTCGAGAAAAATTTGGTTCTTGTACAATTAATATCATGAATCTGACTGACCTAGAAACATATTTTTCTTTTCTTTGCTTCACAATACATTGAATAGTCGACAAGAAACATCTGTCTTATTTACGATCAAATGAATTTTATTATTTTTAATGTTGACAGGAAAAAGTGAGTTTGAATTTTTCGTCAAAAATTGTTCATCGTGATCCATAAAGAAAATTCAAAGGAATGTCAATCACTGATGCCGACATATCCTCGAATTTTGTCTGAAGCCACATCGGTCATTTTTGCTACTATTTGCTGTGTCAATTTTTTCTTCATCTCTGCTTGAACAGCATTATATTTCTTGCTGACATAATCAGAAAGCGTCTCCGAAATAAAATGAAGGATAAGTTCAAGTGTACCACCATGTTTGCCTTTTTCAGTGGTCATGGAAATAGTGACAGTACGAAGCCATTCTTTGTCCGTATTAAATTGTCCACCTTGATCATCGTTCAGTAGATCCAATGATCCATGACCTAAAAGATCATCATTGCCAATATCTGCATCCCATACTTGAACGTACAATGTTTCTAATTTTTGTGCTATAGGAAATAAGAATTTCTCGTTGAAAATAGGATTACGACCGTCGTGAATTTGTGTCTTCTGACATGTTTCTGTTTGTTGTGGCTGATTGCCAGCCTTCATTTTTGATTTTATCGAAAGAGGTTCAAGTGAAAGGACTACATAACAATCGTTCTCACCAAACCAATCACCTTTTATTAAATTGTTGGCTTTCAGTACAGTTACTGATAGAATACCCTTGAGACGTTGAGGATTTGATGCAGCCATTTTGTAGTTGATGCTGTTTGTTGAAATACGTCTTATTCACAGTTAAATGAAGTTCGAATTCTTTTTCTCTAGAGGTATGTCGCACACGTTTTTTTCTTTGTTCTCTCCTACATATAAATATCTCTATTGTAGATGTCATTGCGTCAATATGCATGGAGAATTGTTCGATAATAATAAAATTGAGTGACGTTTTCGCTCATTTCTTGCACACAGATTATACAGAGTGATGTAAATGTCACCCTATACATGTATGATACCTTCATCTTTCATCAACATGCTCCCTCGAACAAGAAAAGTTACTTTTTCCAATTCTTTTTTTTCATCACCTAACACTCTGTATTGCAAAAAAAACAACAGATACCACAGAATGCAGCGTAAAAAGGTTTACAATTTACGAAGGAAAACTTATTTTATAATTGCGTTTTTCTTTTCAAAATGAATAAAATTGTGAGCCACTAACTTATAACACTTCAAAAAAAAAAACAAAAAAATTTTTTGGTGTGCGATGGATTTATTTTTTTTCTTATTTCATCTTTTCATCACCTGACATGCTTTGATAAAAAGAAAACAAAATACATTTCAACATGCAGCGTGAAAATCTGTACAATTTACAAAGAATAACTTACTATATAGTTGCACTTTTTGTTTTCAAAATGGACAAAATTCAGTAGCACCAATTTTTGACATTATGAGCAAGTTGAGTTTTTTGCTACATGAGGACTTCTTTTTCTCATTACTTCAGCTCATGAGTTACATCGAAAGTCATAGTCTGTGATTGAATTTATATCAATCGATATGTTTCAGTCACAACAATATAAGATTGGATTAAATTAAAAGTAATGACTTGATAAATAATGACATAAGAAAAGGAATACGTTGTGTATCAAAAACTGATTGTTTCCATGGCGTCGAAAATTATTCATATAGAATTAGTCTACTTTCAAAACAAAAGGTGGATAAATAAAAAAAAAACTCTTCTTTGTAAATTGTTGAGACTTTTACGCTGTATGTTGTAACGTATTTTGTTTTCTTTTTAACAAAGCATGTCAGGTGATGAAAAGATGAAATAAGAAAAAAAACCAAATTCATCGCACACCAAAAAGTTTTTTTTTTTTGAAGCGTCACAAATTAGTAGCTGACAATTTTGTCCATTTTCAAAAAAAAATGTAATTATAAAATACGCTGTTCTTTATGAATTGTCAAGCTTTTTACGTTTTATCGTGTTGTACTTGTTGTTTTTAACACAGATTATTAGGTGATCAGAAAAGGAATTGGGAAAGGAAACTTTTTTTCTTGTTGAAGAAATTAGTATTTTTATGTTTGTTTGTTTTTAAATTAATCAAACTCTATGTTGTTATCGAGATCATCAGTGTCTTCACTATCTTCGAATATAACTAAAAAGTTAAAACAATTGGTATAATAATCTGTTATTCAATAAACACTCAGCAATGTAACAATGTTATGTGTCCATTGTTTTAGGTAAAGTTTATTTCAATATTAAATAAAATAATTTTCACTTTCAAAACAGTTCACTGATAATCATTGTAAATTGTTTTCAGCAAGCATTTTATAGTAAGCTCCACGTCGTTGTATCAAATCTGTATGAGTACCACTTTCCACGATACATCCTCTATCAAGTACACAAATCAAATCACACGAACGAATAGTTGAAAGACGATGAGCAATAATCAATGATGTTCTACTAGAATCTTCTGTTTGAGCTTGCTCAAGAGCTTCTTGTACAAGCTACAATTGAAAGATGAAGATGAATCTTTCAATGATAAATAGAAACAAAAACAGCTCACTTGTTCATTTTGTGAATCCATGGCATTTGTAGCTTCATCTAAGAGCAATACTTTAGGTCGACGAATAAGAACTCGAGCAATAGCAATACGTTGCTTCTCACCACTTGACAAAAAACTACCTTTCAAACCTACTTTTGTTTCATAACCCTAAAAGAAAATATCATATAATAGTGATAGATACATTATATAATTTTGTATTGTTTAACCTGAGGCAATTGCTCAATAAATTGATGAATATTAGCTTTCCTTGCTGCATTGATAATGTCTTCCATTGAAACATTTTCTAAGCCATATGCTATATTTTCAGCAATTGTCAAATCGAATAAGATTGGTTCTTGACTAACAAGACCAACATGAGAACGAACCCATTGTAGATTTAATTGTCGAATATCAATACCATCAAGAAACTAGATTAAGTGAACGAGTTTTGTATGATAACTTAAACTATACTTTTTGAAGAAATACTAACTAGTTGACCACTTGTAGCATCATAGAATCGTTCTAACAGTTGAATAATTGTTGATTTACCACATCCTGATGTTCCTGTATAGATCATATAATATGATTAGCACTCGAAAGAAACATTTAATTGAAACATACCAACAAGGGCTACACGTTGACCTTATTGAAGAATAAAATTTCTAATATATTGATTAAATCAAATTTTATCTTATTTACCTGGTTTGATATTCAATTGAAATTTGTTAAGAATAACAGATGTTGGTCGAGTTGGATAGATAAATTTGACTTGATCAAAGTTTATCTCTCCACCAAAACCAATCTACACGAATCATATCATATCGTTGTTAGATACATAATTGAAAGAAAAGAGTTATCTTCTCTGTTCTCTTACCAATTCTTGTATTTCAGTAGATGTATTGTCGTTAGTTGGTATTTGATCAAATAAGTCAAAAAATGCTCTAGCCGCTGAGAATGATGCAACGACGCGGCTAGATCTAGAATAGAGATGGTCGAAGAAAAAGAAAACAAAGGAGATATGTAGAGTGTTACATTATTCCGACGAGTCTCAGTGCTTGTAACGCAAACATAGCAAAAGAGAACACCCTAATAAATTGAAAAGATAATAAAAACAAAATTCTCGTTTCTGCTGAATTCTTTCTCGCCGATAATATGTTTCGTCGATTCTAATATCTCCGAATGAATTCATAATCGAAAATAAGATTGGATAAAATATGATCCGTTTTGAACATAAAATTTCACTCTGACGAATTAGTTCATTAACAAATTGATTAGTTATCATGTAAGTTGGTAACCATCTGACTTGGTAGAGTAAGGGAATAAGTATGGGTCTCAGTTTGACAACACATACTGGTATAGTTATTTTGCTGTTCACATTGATACCCACACTGACAGTAACACTCTACCAACTCTGATGGTTAATAACTTAATGGTAACAAGAGGATTTGTTAATAAACTAATTAATTACAATAAAATATAATGTATAGAATAGATCATGTTTCACTCAAACTCGTTTTTGGCTCTGGATGCATTTGGCGATAATAAAATCGCCGAAACACATTGTCGGCGACAATGGACTAATGCAATGTAACATTAGCTCTAAATTATCAAACAATCATTTCTATTACATTATAATATGGTTTGAAGTGAGTTCATTCTTTTCGACAAGAATGAGACCACACCAATAAAGAAATGCCATAGTGTATATATCTAGTGCCCAGACCATGCCATATATCATTGAATGTAGTATCGAAGGTTTCCAAGATAATCTATGACGAAATCAAGTTTAATTAAAAAAACTTATACATATATAAAATTCGATTGACCAACATAAATACTTCATGAATAAGGTCAGAATATCGTTGTAACACTTTCTTTTCTGCTAACATTTGTTTTACTGTACGCACATTATGAATAACTTCCATTGCAAACTGAAAAAGTACAAGAGAAAATGAATGTAGCGTATCTGATTTATCAAATAGATCATGATAGAACAGTTTTTGTATACCAAAAAAAAACGGTTCTCAGCTAAAATCTGATCTTACCGTATTTGCTTGTTCGATAATGTGATCACATTGTTGCTTCAACCATATATGTGAACGCATATTTCCATAGCTGACTATGGATAGGAGAAAAACATGAACAAAAACGATCAATGTTAATTGCCAACTTATCAAATATCCAAATAGAATTCCAAAAAAAGACAGTGAACTAACTTCACAGATGTTTCCTAATCGGGCACCACTCATCTCTTGAATAGCCGATGCATCAGAAGACAGACGAGTACATATTGCACCAGAGCTATTTTCTGGTCTATCGAAATAAGCAACTTCTTGACGAAGAAGGCATGCAAATGCTTTCGAACGAATACGCTGCATTAATTTCGCTCCAGATATGGCAAAAGCTGTATACTATAGAAAAAAAATGAATAAATTTTTGATCAAAGTCGGAAACAGCATTTTTACCTGAACAAGACGAAGAAACAATAAAGCAACACCTAAGAGTATAAAAATAATGCTACTAATGAACACTTGATGACGTCGTTCAGAGTTTGAACAATATTTGAATGCCTACACAATAAACAAATCCACATCAAACGATTTTCATTTTCAATCATTTTTTTTGAACAACATATATATATAGATGGATCACTCACATCGACTATTTTAGCAAATAAAAATGCGAACAATGGTTGACCTGCTCCATTGAGTATACACGCTATACAACCAAGTAAGATGGTAATCCATTCAGGACTATTCATTGATAAGAGTCTTAAAAAGACAAATCTTTGTTTGAATGGCTTTGAACTTTGCTAAAAGAAAAAGAGATATGAATAATATTTCGTATGAATAACTGCAATCATATGTTTACTTTTATCACGTCAACATTTAGGCTATCGTGAAACAAATGAGAACGTTCAACTGCTAAAGAAAAAAAGACGAAGAAAAATCAAGAGTATCCCTATTAGAATATTAAAATACACATAGACTTTTCCTCCTCTTCTCTTGCTTTTTGTATGCTCATCATATCATCTTTATCATCATTAATTCTTCCCAATTGTTGACGTTTGAACATTGCGTGATATTTGCCACTTTCTTTTGCCAGCAATGTTTCATGTGTACCTTGCTCAATCACACTTCCATTGTCTAATACATATATTTGATCAGCATTTTGAATTGTACTCAAACGATGAGCAATAATAATAGTTGTACGATCTATACAAATAGATATACCAATAAGATAAGCAGAACAAACAATATTTACATTGGCATGCTCGATCAAGAGCTTTTTGAACAATTCTTTCGTTAATATAATCAAGTGCACTCGTTGCTTCGTCCAGTAAAAGGATGGCGGGCTGTTTAACAAGAGCACGAGCTATTGCAATACGTTGTTTCTCACCACTACCTAACTGTATGCCACGTTCACCAACAACTGTTCTATATTTCTAAACAAAAATTCATGACACATATACATAGATTAACACGAGTATTTAGCTCAAACGTTTGGCAATTGCATGATGAAATCATGCAAATTTGCGTCCCGTGCTGCTTGTTCAATTTCTCCTGGTGTCGCATTTGCTACACCAAAACGAATGTTTTCATAAATACTCATACCAAACAGAATCTATTACACAAGTGAAATACAACTTGAAAGAGGGAAAAGAAAAATAAAGCAAAAGGCATACAGGTTCTTGACTAACAACTCCAATGTTTTGCCGAAGGTATTCGACAGTGTAGTCTGTTAATGGCTTACCATTGACCCTTATTCGACCAGATGAAGGTTCATAGAAACGAAGAAAAAGTGATATACATGTACTTTTTCCTATGCATAAATTATGAACATAAACGGGATTATTGTAACATCTTTGTTTGAGAAAAGACTTACCACAGCCACTTGAACCTACAAGAGCTGTTGTCTGACCAGCACGAGCAATAAAAGAAAGATTACGGAGCACTGATACATCTTTTCGACATGGATATATAAAATTGACATTGTCGAATTCAATATCACCAGTGATTCTATAAAATGATTGTGAACCCTGGTTCCATACAATTGTTTCATTGATGCGTGTGTCATTGCCCTACATTATGTAAATAAATACAATATATTATTATCAATATGATATCGAAATTATATTGAATTTACTTCTTCAATCAGTTGAAATACTGATGATGCTGCACCTCGAGCTTCTGAAAATGATTGAAAATAAGGACCAATAAAACTGACTAAAAACAAACATTGTGTAAACGTAGAGACGACCTGCATTTAAATGATGTTCCTATATTCATTGCCTTGTATAGAGATCATATGCCTAACTCACCACAAGAATGTCACTGATGCTCAATCTATCATGAGTTTTCTGTGACATAAGAACAGAGCCAATGATAAAGCCAACTGCACAAACTAGGTAGGTTGTTAGAGATATCCATCCAATAAAACTTCCCAACATTGCATCTTTACGAATACTACTCCAAAGAGTTGGATACAGTTCCTTTTCATATCTTAATGCAGTAAAATAACAACATGTTTAATGATTTCAAATAAGTAAACTATTTTTATATACTTTTTACCTTTTTTGCTCAAATTTGCTACCATTGAAAGACAGAACAGTTCGCAGCGAACTAAACACTTCTTGAACGACTTGCTCTGCTTTGGAGTATGCCATTAACTCATTTATGGCTTCTTTAGCAGTGAGCTATAATCATTTATAGAGATTTAATTGGATGAACAACAACTTCATACCTTAGAAAACACAATTGAGCTACCAATTATTAACGGTATAAAATATAGCATGATCAAAGTCAATTGCCAGTTAACAATGAAAGATGCTATGAAGCATCCAATGATGGAGAGTACCACGCTCAGCAATACTAAGAATTCAAAACCAATACCTTTCTCGATCTTTTCAATGTTACTACATAAGAATGAAATTAGATGAAGCTATTTGATGTAAAATAACACAATGGCTTACTCAAACAGTTTAATATTGAGTTGACTGATTGGTTTTGCATCCATATAAGGAATACTCTAAAATCAAAGTGAGAAAAGTTATAGATAGTTGGACTCAATTGAGTGACACTCTAACTCTTCTGCTATTTTCTATACTCGACTCCATCTGTATTTTTCAATTTCCAGTTCAACTCGAATTTTTTCTTTGTCGAAACTCCTACTGCAACTCAGACAATAACAAGGCACGGTTTATCCGATTATATATTATCAAGTTGAAATCTTTTCTATTTGTTTGTCTAATCGGGTTTTTCTCTGTCAAATTTCTTTAATTCTTACTTGATATGTTACTAAGCGAACAGAAATTACAAGAGTTTTAATAAAAGTTTAGTAACACCAGCTTCCATACATAAAAGTGGCTACTTCTAGTTGAAATCTCACATCTCTGGGGACAGTAAGCTCATTTACATCGGTGATAATCCAAGGAATAAGTAACAAGTAACGTTCGTCGGTTCGTCTCACTTGACCCTCGACTGTATCAGACAGAAGTATAAAAGTCTCATCCATGGACACCCAGTTATGAAACAGCTGATTAAGGGAGACCTTATCACATATGTCGGATTGACTAAATTTTCAGTCTGAAAAATCGAACTGATTGAAAGTTCAACGTTAAAAGCACGAGAATCGAACACTTACCCAACGTTTTTTATGACGTCTCATCTTTCACTCTGACAAAAACAGACGAAAATTTATTTTACTTCATATAACCCTTCCTACAATCCAGAAAAAATTATTTTCTCAAAGAAACCTTTTCTCCTGAACCAAAAAAATTCTATTCAAAACTTAGAGAAACTAACTTCAGATTCGGATTCTCCGACCTTGATTTACTTTCGTCAAACTTTATAAAATATCATTATTTTCTCAAAAATCCCTTTCCTCAACTCAAAAAAATCAATTCAAAATTTTGAAAAACTAACTTCAGATTCGGATTCTCCGGCCCCGATTTACTTTCGTCAACCTTTATAAGAAGATTCATCTTGGATGTTTTTTTGACCTTGTGTTTTGTTGACCTTGACACAAAGCGACAGACAAACTATTTTTTTTCATATGACCCTTCCTACAGTCGAGGGAATAGGATTAAAATCACTGCAGAAATTTATTAATACTTTTTTAATATCGTTTTTAAATAAAATTAGCTAAGCTTCAGGTTTTCAAAAATATTTTTAGGTTTACTATTTCGAAAAATATATCAATAATGAAGACACCTTTCCTTATAGCTTCGAAGCCATCATTTACTGAAGTTGAAAGTTCTTCAAAAAACAATAAATGATCGAACTTGCCCAATTAAACTTCTGACGATTATATTTACATTAGCTTCTAAGAAAGCATGTGTTATGTTTAACTTGTACATGATAAGAATTTCATGAAAAGAAAGTGTCTACTATATGTCATAAATTTATAGTAACGCCCATAAGAAAATTAGATTAAACTTTGGGCAAAATATTTTTGATAACTTGTATTGTATTTGACTTACGCGTTGAATAAGTGATTGAAAGAGAGAAATACTCATACGAGATGTCTGTTGTTTTACACTCATCGTCCAAATGTAATATGCCATCGAACTGGCTAGAAATTCGACAGCACCAATAACTACATCATCAAAGAAAAGAAAAAGAAAACTTCTAGTATTCGTCATAATCAAATAGTTATATTCATTTTTCTTACTGAACAACCACTGAACTATGTTCATCACTTTTTCTCGAAATAAATTGCTCAATATATTGAGCTCAATCCTTTGAGAATACGTATTGTTGTTATTAATTGGAAGTTTTAAGTTTTGGTGTTGTTCATCACAATTATCACCAAATGATTCAAGAACAAATAATCCTGTGAGACGACCAAAGAGAACTAGGTTAGTGATAATGCAAGTCGTATGTAGCACTGTCAAACACACAGCAACGAACATCAAGACCAAATCAAAACGATTTGCAAAATGAAACTAAACAAAGTTAAATGCAACGATCAGTTTCTATTTCGTCTGAATACACTTACTAAATGGAAAACACCAACTGCTTCATCTCTATCACCTGGTTTAATATCATTATCTGGTTTTGCATATTTATTATCGTCCTCTTTTCCATTGAAACATCGACACCAATCAGAAAAACTATGAAAAATAATGAATTCATTCTATTTATTTTCGAAATTTGTTATTTATTAATTTATACCTCCTAGTCCAAAGTTGTTTCTTCTTCCTATTTTCATCATGATTATCACCAGTAGACATATTATTGAGCGTTTTTAATAGAGGTTGTTTTTCACTCATTTTATTTGTTTTTCAACAAGTCTATTAGAAAAACAAAAATATCGAATAGAAACATGTACAAATACCTGCACACACAGACGTTTGTGATTGTAATCCTAGTATTTATACGTTTTCTCTCTTTTTCTTCGCTTATTATTAAACTAAAATGTATGCGCAGCCAAGCATTGCGAGACAATCTTGCTTTTTATTCAAAGGGACATATTTGCATGTTAATTCGTAACCGACGAGCTTCACTGTATTATACTTTTATAAATTGCTCCTAAATACAGCGACAGACACATTCATAGACGTGATGACTAGAAAAGAACAGAAAAAAAAGAAGAAGCAAACCAAAACGACTAAGAAACGAACAGAGAAGAAAAAAGAAAAGAAAAGTGAGACATATTGAACTGAGGATTCTCTAATGGTAGTAAAATGAATGCTAATAGCCTTCCTTTCTATGAGTACGTGTGTCGACACATATCAATAATGCTCATCCACGGAAGTTTTCAATACATGATAATATCACTCATACATAAAATTTCAACTAAAAGTTTATCACGAATAGTATCATTTTGTAATTAACCAAGTATAAGTAGTCGTTGATTTTCATGTAATGCTGACTATACACCTGTAGTACATGATTCATCTCTTGATGATTGTTAGCGGGTTCACCTTCTTGTTGTTATTTTTCTATATTATTTCTTTTTTTTCTCTTTTCTTTCTCTTTCTTGTTGTTAGATCTATGTCGATGTTATATAACTTTGATCACTCTTTGTTATTTGTCATTAAGTTTGACCCTTGATCTAGGTAGTCGAGATATACACATATGTTACAGGCAAAATTGAGATTCAGGCAAATTTTAAATTTGCCTAGGCAAAATTGGAATTTTAATTTTAACTAGGCAAAATTAGAATTTTAATTTTGACTAGACATTGCTTGGATAGAATTGGAATTTCAATTTTGCCTAGGCAAAATTAGAATGTGAATAGAGATGAATTCATGCAATGACGTGCTTTATCAAAAGTAGAATGGACTAACAAAAAAAGGAGAAAATTGTGTATCAATCTTGCCACTAAGCACTATAAATATAGATGCACACGTTATAATCTGATTAAAAAATGACGAATCAGATTCAAAGATAGCTCAACAAAATGATGGTGAATTGGTTTACTATACGGAATTAGAAAAATATATTAATTCCTTAAGTACAAAATTTCAAGAAAAAAGTGTTATAAAACAAAGTGTTTATGATGATATCATTAAATGTTTACTATCATCCAAGGACAAACCATTAGGTTTGTTTTCTTCAAAATTTGTTTTTTGGATTAAAAAACTTTTCATTGTGATCAAAATTTTTGGTTCAACAAAATGTCATTCAAAACGAGGTGGTTGTACAAATATGGGTCAATAGAGTAAAATTTTTGTCTTGTAAATTCTTTAATTAAATGAATAAATATTATTGAATAAAAAATTCTATTCAGTTTTATTGTTTTGATTGTATAAATTTATCTCTAGTCACATTCTAATTCTGCCTAGGCAAAATTGGAATTCTAATTCTGTCCAAGCAATGTCTAGTCAAAATTAAAATTCTAATTTTGCCTGAATCACAATTTTGCCTGTAACATATATATATTCTTTTTTTTTCTTTACAAGGATAGATATAGCTGTGTTACTGTACGTGTGTGTGGGGACATTTTTTTTGATTTTTGAAATAAAATAAAGAAGGTCGAACATCAGACCTCTAATAATAATATATAAAGTTTTTCTTAACCATTAAGAAATGTTTGATTTAATGTATATGATATTTGACCACCTTTATTACCTACAATAGAAACACATTTAACATTAGGATTTTGATGAACTTTTAAAATAATGAATAAAATAAAATCCATCAAATCCATGATTAACGATTAAATTATTATTATTACTTTTGAAAAACATGATAATTATTTCTTTGATCATCAATATCTTTGTCTGGTATTGATTCTAGTAACGTTCATTTATCCAGATTATGTTGTTTTGGTATATAATTAGAGTTGAGAATCCGCTAGGACACGATCAATAAATCTTCAATATGAGTAGAGATCGACGTAAGTCAGTTCATCATTATCAGAAATGAAATTTTTTTTTATAAGAACATGAAGAGAATTCTCAAGCAGCAAACAAATCATAGCAACATCGTCTAGTGACATCATACCATCTGTGTATGTACTCAATTGTGCTATGATTTTACTTCGAAGTTGTTCAGATTCCGTTAACCAATGAAACGTTGATGCAATAGTAAGTTGAACGCCTATCCATTTTGTAAATGCTCTAAAGAGACGATTCAATAGTTCTAATAATGATGGACTTTTCAGATCTAGTACGGATCAAATTTTTCGATCGAAAACAATGTTAAATACTGCGTCTACAAATGTAGTTGGTGAACCAATGACAGCTTCTGGTTGTGTCTGCTGCATGTTAACGAGAAAATCATCAATCTATTCGATATGTTCAGTATGAGTGAGTGTGCGAAGTGGTTTAATATCGAATCACTAACGAGCTATGTATTGAGAATAATTGATCATATTTTCATAGTTATGATCCGTCCAACGAAAATCTTCCACAAAAAATTTATTAAATTTTTTCTTAAATTCAATTAATAATGAATGACCCGTTTTTCATTATTAATTTGAGTTTTGGAATTACTGAAGACCGTATGAAGATTACGAAATAACGGATAGATACTTTATTTATCGAAATCATATTCGACACCAAACTTTGACAAGGCATCAATTAATAACATAATCGTCATTGCAATGTATGCACTCCAATGAAGAATGAAATGTATGTCAGTGAAAATCAGATCAACTATGGTAAAATGACCCAAATCATGTGCCATAAATGTATCTTTATGAGTGACATCATCTTTGGTCGTCAATGGTAAGTCACTATTCAAGTCTGAACTCCAATACGTTGTTTGCCGACGATTACTAGCAGCACGAAAGAATACACCTATTTTTAATACGTGAAAAACAAATTTCAGACTCATATTCAACTACTTTTGGTTCAGCAACATTAATGGAAAAATCAATTGGACATTTTGACTTCTGTAGTGGATCAAAATTCATGCTTTACAATTCTTTGTAATGAACTCGTCGCTTGATAGATGCTGAAATATCCATATTACGAGCCTAATGCTTGATACCGGTTTCATTCAATGATTGATAATTCATTCTAGTGGCTTCAACAACACAAATATGATCCCATCCAAACATTGATGGATTAGTCTTATTTATTGAACGTCGTTGACAAAGATCAATTCTATCAACTGTGATGTATGTAAATTCTTTACGTACTGTTTCATTCGTTGTGGTATCAATTCATATTGCAACCATTTTTCATTGATTAATTTCAGGTACTTTATGACGTAAACTACTCAAAAGATTTGTGTCTGGTCGATATAAATTATTTCTTTTGGTCATTAACGCTAATTATGTACTCGCATGACTTCGATACTATAGAGTTTTTCAAATATTCGCATATGGTCTTGGTATTTACGTAGATTAGCCGTGCGTAAATAAACGACACATCAAAGTATATCAGTACATCGTCCTTGCTTTTCATTTTCATACGACATTAATCAATATGAGCAAGATTTTGTTCTTGACATGTAAATAAAGTTGACAGTATCTTTTGATGAATCTCTTCTGGCGATTCAGAATGATATTCAATGCGAATAAGTTGACCACGTTTTTCTAGCACTTCAATTAACGGTAATATTTCTTCTTGAAAGGTACTACAACGATTTTCAAATGTCTCAATAGGGTCATCGATGCATCAAGATAAATTGTTATATGAATTGGTCGATCCAAATTCATCAATATGTCATCAAAAATATGAAGATGCGATCGATTTCGTGAATAATCATCTAAAGTTATATCATTTTGATACATTGGATCACTTCATTTTGTTGTGAGAAATGTTGCTTTTAGCTCGTTCAAAATCGATTCACCTGCATCCATGTACATTTTCATTTGTTTACCCAATTCACTAATAGTTGCTACTTCCGTTCGAAAGAGATCACTTCAAGAAATACACCGTCGATTGAAGATCTCTGTTAAGAACTTACTTTGAGTACCTTGACCTGAAAGTGACGCTCCTATTAGTAAAACAACATCACAGCCAATAAGTTTTTGTATCTGTCCTAAAGACATATTGCCTATTGTACATGGCGGCGATTTCAACATTTGATGGTAAGTAGAAACTGATCAAGTGGTATTAACCGACTATGATCAAAATTATGAACAAGACATAATTCAATCGACTCGAAATAAATATAAGTTAGAACAATTTCGATACGATGAAGAAATTCGAAATAATAGCAAATACCTCAGTTACAAGTGAGTTGACCTCTGTTTAAATTGTGTATGTAACACTCGGTTATCAATTGAGTTTAAGTAACTAATGTCTATATGTAAATGTATCGAAAATGGACATGCGCTTGCACAATGACAGCAATATATGTAGTAGCCTTGAAATGTACGAGTGTATGAATCAGTGAGAAATGCGAGAAAAAAAAAACAAAAAGTGACACATGTTAACGATTAGCATAATGATGAATAATGAATATTATGTTATTACTGTTTCCATGATATTGTAAAGCCTAAGAAAAAAAAGACGGATTTGAAATTTTGAAGTGTTCGAGAGTCTGTCCAAATGAGGATATACATGTGCGTGAGAATAAGCTATGTCATAACCTAATATGTACCTCAATAGAGATGTTATTAAACAGATCCATTGTTGAAATTTAACCTTTACAATCTTTTTGCGCTCTGGTAGTGTAGGTACGGACAATTTGATAAACTTCAGACCTTCAAGACAATGAATTGCCTTGTGTCAGAAAAAAAATTAAACTTTTGTTCAACTAGTAATGTAGCGATTAATTTATTATTTATAATTTTATTAAAATAGGTTTTCGTACTTTTAAATACACTAATTATGTAACAAATACATGATTGGTGTATGGTTTTTATTATAACATTACAAAATATCATTCTAATTCAAATTAAATCCTAAACTAATCCACCACATGTAATTTTTAAGATACAATATAATTGAGTGTATGACATCAAGAAAAACTGATCGTTTATCAAACACTGTTTTTATTTTTTGTTCAATTAAATTTCAGTTATTTCTTCTGTGAAATGATCATTGTATGCCATGTAAAGACTAAATTGAATATAAGAAAATGTTTATGTCATTAGAACGGAAGCTGCTTTTCTAATTGGTTTGAATGTCCACATATTATTTCCTCGATGAAAAACAACCATCATAATACTAAACTTTAATCACAAGAATATCAATCATTACCATAGACATCATTTGATAAACTTGTTTATATGCTACTCAAACCGTTACAATATCCATTACATATACGTGTAAAACAATTTTTTTTTGGTCTACGATATATCTATTATAAATCTTCAATTTTCTAAAGTTTGAGTTCTCTCTCTAAAACTAATAATGAAATAGATAGAGCAACTATGGATTATTTTAGCTATCTTAGAATACATTTATCATATCTCAAATCTTTTAGATTTTAATGAAAAAATATGAACGATTAGAATCAACAGACAACGATGTTAAAATCATTGAACAACGTTTAATATATCATACAATTAGAAAAAGGAAATGTGCAAAAATGATAGATGAGATATCTAATCAATTATCAATAGTTGTAGGAAGTAATTAGAAAGAGATATTCACACATTTGAAAAAAAAAAATTATCTTGTAAACTTTCTTTCTCTTATACATGCATTTCAGTATAAATTTTAGAGAGCTCAAAATTTAATAGTTTAAAGATCTTAATTAGATATAGATCTGATAAAAATTTTAGTTTTTTACGTCGAGAAAAATATCAAAAAAGTATTGCTGATAATTTATTGTCAGTTATTTTGTGACATTTTTAACAGTAGTTTGCAAGAAGTTCCATTAGCGGATAAAAATAACATTAACTTTAATCATTTTATCTTAGAATAGAACTTGATAAATTCTGATCGTAAGTAACAACCCAAGGTCGATAGACATTAAATGCAAAAAAATCTATAATGAAAACACTGATTCATTTCCTTGGGATATAAACAAGACTTTTTTGACATTTTACTAATTTTCTACTATTTCAATGAGTTAATTACCATTTTCATATTTTACTGAAGAACATTTCAAGCTTAATGAATAAAATTAGCCGAAGATATCGGTCAGTTTTCGACAATTCCCATCAACTGGTATGTAAAGATGAAGAAAAACATTATCTAGCTCTTCCACATGAGCATTGATCAAGTTGTAATTAGTTTTTTTCAGTCAGAGTTCAACATGATCTCTATATATAGTCAAACTATAAGACTAAAGGATTAAAATTTAGGCTATGTTTTTACCTAGTAGTAGACTACTATATATATCTTTTCCTATCTTCGAGACAGTTATCCTATATTTGAATATTTTTTTAATAAACTAGATGACATAAAAGATAAGATCTATTGAATGAAATTAATTATTTCAAATTGTATTAATTCATTCTTTTTGTCTTAGATGAACTGAATTCAGAATATAATTTTCTCATATAATCTAAATTCTTTTTAAAATAAACAACAATAAACAGCTGATTATCACTATGAAAAATTCTTTATTATTCGTTTAAATAATTGACGAATCATAATACATGAGCGCTATTGTCTATTGATAAGCATATTAGACTTGAGATTCTGTGGAAGTAGTTGATTATGGAAAGAATGTTTGTTAAAGTGATTCACTGTTACTATTATTATTATTATTATTATTATTACTATTATTGTCTTTTTCGACTTAATAAAATTTTCCATTGGTTTTTTTTTCCTAGTATATTTAAGCTTTTTCTTTTTTTTCTCTTTTCAATTATTGATTAAGAAAACATGGTAGGTTACTATTATTGAATGAATGAAAAAAAGAAAGAAAATCAACAACCAGGTCATTATTTGAAGAGAATAAATTCAAGGTTGATTTTTTTTTTTTCGATTGTATTGTACATTAGTCGAGTATTTTTATGTCTGTTTTTTTTCTTTTGAGCGACACAATACAATCGTTCTTGTGTCAATTTTGTTCATTTTTTTTTATTATTTTAGCATCCAAAAGAACAGAAACAAAAGTTCTATACTGAACGTTTTAAAATTTCGTTAGAGTCAATCATTATTCAGACAGAAGAACGAACGAAACAATGAACAACATATAGAACGAGAGAAAGAGAGAATTGCACATGAAGAAAAAAAACACAAAATACATGCGCAATTTATCGTTTACTCTCGTCTGGTCATTACACTACTACTGGGCGTAACGTTTTTAATCGGACAAACTACTCATCGTTAGTTGTTTGTCGTCTTTTTTTTTTTTTCTTGATAATTTAATGATGATTTGTCCTTGTTATATAAAGTCTTCTGTTGATAGGCTATGGCACATATGTTTCTTCCTGCCATCATCAATGACACTTAGTAAGAAATAGGAGAAATAAAAAATAATAAGCCTTCTATTCTATGTTTTTTTTTATTTTTTTGCCTTCAAAAAGTACCACGATCGATTTGCCTGCGTCTTGCTTTCTTCCGGTGAAGAAAAAAAAGAAACTATGTCAACGAATGTGCACATATATATATGTATATATATATATATGTTTAAAGAACGTTTAATTTATGCTTCGCAAATAGACAATATCGATCAGCTTTTTATGCGCTAAGAGCATTTATACATTTATTTAATAATAAACCTTGTGAGATGAAGTTGTTTAAGATTGATGGATGAGGGATAGATATACCGTCAACATTGGATTATATAACGAAAGTATTCGTCGTGATAAATAGGACGAGAAAGAGAAAAGGAGAGAGAGAGAAAGAGAAAGAGAAAGTGGCGACCTTTTTCTTTTTTTTTTTATCCTATATTCAAACAATAAATTATTGTTGTTTTTTTATTTTTTAGATCTCTTTCTGTACATATGTTGTTCACAATAAATAATTCTTTCATTCATTATGTACGGTGATATTGAACATGTCGGAAGCAGATCTTCTTCAACCCGATAACATTGTTCGAGATCGATGGAAAGTCGTAAGTTTAAAAATTCATTTTATTTATTTTTTTATTTATTTATTAAATTTTAGATAAATAAAATAGGTGGTGGTGGTTTTGGTCAGATCTATGAAGCATATGATCTTGTCATTAAAGAGAATGTCGCACTTAAATTAGAATCGGCTAAACAGCCAAAACAAGTACTTAAAATGGAAGTAACAGTTTTACGTCGTTTACAAGGCAAAGATCATGTATGTAAATTTCTTGGTGGTGGAACAAATGAATTTTATAATTATGTTGTTATGACATTACAAGGAAAAAATTTAGCTGAATTACGTCGTAGTCAAACACGACAATGTTTTACTTTATCAACATCATTACGTATTAGTTTACAAATTCTTCAAGCTATTGAATATATACATTCAATTGGTTTTCTTCATCGTGATATAAAACCATCAAATTTTTCAATGGGACGTTTACCAACAACATGTCGAAAAGTTTTTATGTTAGATTTTGGTCTTGCTAGAAAATATACTAATGCTGAAGGTGGTGTTCGAGCTGCACGACCACAAGCTGGTTTTCGTGGAACTGTACGATATGCTTCAATGAATGCACATAAAAATAAGGTTAGATAGAATAAAATTTAAATAAAAAAAAAAAAAAGAAAAGATAATTGAAATATTATTGAATTATAATCTATTATATATATATATATATATATATATATTTAAGGAAATGGGTCGACATGATGATTTATGGAGTTTATTTTATATGCTTATTGAATTTATTACAGGACAATTACCATGGAGAAGAATTAAAGATAAAGAACAAGTTGGACAAATGAAAGAAAAATATGATCATAGTATTTTTTTAAAAAGTCTTCCTTCAGAATTCAAAGTAAATAATTAAATAATTTTTGTTTTTTGTTTATTATTTTGTTTTATTTTAAGCAATTTCTCGAACATATACAAAGTTTACGTTATGAAGATAAACCTGATTATGATTTATTACAAAATATATTTCGTAATTCTATAACTCGTCGTGGTTATAAAGACTCAGATTTATTCGATTGGGAAAAAGAAACAAATGGTATTCAAGATGAAACAAATGTTGTATCTACTGCACTGCCACCAGCCCCTCCTCTGCAACAACAACAACAAC